TGCGCCTGTAGTCCCAGCTACTCAGGAGGCTGAGGCAGGAGAATTGCTTGAATCCAGGAAGCAGAGGTTGCAGTGAGCCGAGATCGTGCCATTGCACTCCAGCCTGGTGACAGAGCAAGACACCATCTCAAATAATAAAATAAATAAATAAATAAATAAATAAATAGGCAGCAGTCAGCAAACCAGGAAGAAGGCCTTCTCCAAGAACTGGACCATGCTGTCACCCTGATCTTGGATTCCAGCTTCCAGAGCATAAGAAATAAATTGTTTAAGCCACTCAGTCTGTGGTATTTTGTAATGGCAGCCAGAGCAGACTAGGGTAGGGGAAATAAATGCCAGGACTGAAGACAGATTAGCGTTCTCAGTGGTCACATAGGGAGGAGGCACTATGGAGAAGCGGACAGACCCTGGAGTCCTATATTTAAAGCTCCAACCAGAGTGGAGCTGGAGGAGGAGGGCAGTAAGGCAGGAGAGCAGGGAGGTGGTGGGGGGCAGTCCTGGAAGCCAGGGCCAGAGGGTTTCAAGAAAGAGGGCATGGCTGGCCATGTCCGATGTGGCTGAGCTCAGAGAGATGAACGGCCACTGAATTTGGGAACAGGGCATCTTTGGTGTCCTGGACAAGAGCAGTGTCAGTGGTGTGGTGGGGCAAAAGTTTGAGTGGAGTGAACTGAGGGGGAAATGGGAAGAAGATAGGGAGGTGGAGATGACCACATACAATTCTTTGGGTAAGTTCTGCCGACATGGTGTGGCAGGAGCCAGGGAGAAATGGGAGGAGCAAAGGGTATTTCTTACTGATGATAAACTATCTAAGATTTACAAAAAGATATAAAAAAGAATAAAGACTACTCATATGCCCATACCCCAGCTAGAGAAATAAAACAATTCCAATAGGACTGTAAGCCTCAGTGTATCCTTCAAGGGAGGATCTCCAGCCTCCTCCCAGGAGTAACTATTAACATAGGTCTAGTTTTTATTCTCTTGCATTTCTTTATTGTTTTATTACGTAGGGACAAGTTTATTAGCAGTATACTGTTTTGCACGTTACTAGACTTTCCATAATGCCATCATATTGCATATATTCTTCTACAGGCTATAAAGATCACATTGATTCATGTAGCTTTGGTTTATTCATTTTCATGACTGTTGAGTATTTTACTAAGGCTGTATACTAGAGTTCATCTGTTCTCCTACTGGTGGTTGTCAAAGTTGCTGTCTATATTTTTCCATTACAAATAATGGTGCTAAGCACCCTGGGACTGGTTTTCTCACTCTTGTAACCAGTATGTTGGGTAAACAGATGTTACATTTTAATGAAAAGAATTTATGTATCCCCCACAAACCCCTGCTCAGGCACATGCATTGCCTCAGCCTAGTTCTTTCCCACTCCTTGGCTAAAAAGTTCTTGGTTCACGTTTGATTAAAATAAAGTTTCCTTGGCTGGGCACGGTGGCTTACGCCTGTAATCCTAGCACTTTGGGAGGCTGAGGTGGGTGGATCACCTTAGGTCAGGAGTTCCAGACCAGCCTGGCCAACATGGTGACAACCCATCTACTAAAAATACAAAAATTAGCTGGGTGTGGTGGCGTGCGCCTCTACTCCAGCTACTCTGAGGCTGAGGCAGGAGAATCGCTTGAACCTGGGAGGCAGAGGTTGCAGTGAGCCGAGGTTGCACCACTGTACTCCAACCTGGGTGACAGAGTGAGATTCCGTCTCAAAAAATAAAAATAAATAAATAAAGTTTTCTTCAGCCCATGTACTAGTTGAATCCATGTACTAGTCAGAATTCTATTGACTAATACACAGTGAAGTGAATACATCCTTGCTCATTAACTTCTCCCCTCCTCAGCCAGGGCCTTTGCCCTCTCCCCAGGCTGCCTCTGGCCGCCAGGCTGGAAGTGGTAGAGGAAGGGGGTGGGGGCGAGGAGAGATCTGACCTGGCTGACACTTGTGTTGCTGCTGGCGTCTGGCTGCACTCACCTGCAGGACTGACCCTTCCCTGGAGGGCGTGTTAGGCTCTTCAGAGGGCCACTCTGAGGGTCTCACTGAAGGCCTCTCATCTGTGGTCTTGCATTTAGGGGCTTCCCAGACATCCTTCAGCCCAGGGTTTGCAGATCTTTGGCCCACCTGCAACAGCCCACCACCCTCCACACAACCCTTTTGGGCAAAGTCCTGCTTCCTGCTCTCTTTCCCCCCTGTAAGGCCACACCTAGGCCAGAGGAAGCATGGGCACCCTTCTTCCTGACCAGCCGGGAGTGTGGCCTTCCCCACCGCAGCTTCTGCACCCCTTTGTCCCTCAGAGCCGCTGCCACAGGCGGACACCAGCTTCTGGGTCCCTGGCCTCCAGGAGCACAGGTCAGGTGCTCCCAGGAAGGCCCTGCCACGCAGCAGTGAGCGGAAGGGGAGGGAAATTGTCACATCATACCTAACCCCTGCGATGGTCTCCAAAGACATTGTCCCTGCTGGCCTCTGCAACTTCCACCCTGTGGTAACCTGGAGGAGGTGCCTGGCAAGGTGCCTGGGGCCCTCACTGGGCTCTTTGCAAGGCTTCCTTGCCACCCTTATTCTTGGCCCCTTGGGGCCCTTGTTTTTGCAGGAGTGGAATATCAGAGGCTTGAGGATTGGCCATCTTCACTTTCACCAACCAGGTGGGGGAGCAGGGAGGTACTCAGCTCAAGTGCAAAATTTAAGGGTGGAGGGGCACCAAAAACTCAGTAATCAAGACAAATTCTCTTTTATTGAGGTAAAGTTCCCATAAAAGTAACCATTTATGGCCGGGCGCGGTGGCTCACGCCTGTAATCCCAGCACTTTGGGAGGCCGAGGCGGGCGGATCACAAGGTCTGGAGATCGAGACCACGGTGAAACCCCGTCTCTACTAAAAATACAAAAAATAGCCGGGCGCGGTGTGGGCGCCTGTAGTCCCAGCTACTCGGAGGCTGAGGCAGGAGAATGGCGTGAACCCGGAGGCGGAGCTTGCAGTGAGCGAGATCGCGCCACTGCACTCCAGCCTGGGCACAGAGCCAGACTCCGTCTCAAAAAAAAAAAAAAAAAAGAACAAACACGGTGGAAAAGGTGAAAGGTGTGTCTTCGTTGGAGAACTGTCACCCTTCATATATTTGACACTTAAATTTCCTTGGAACGTTTTATTTAATCTGGCTGTTTGTCATTTCGCTGTTGAGTTGTAAGAATTCTTTTTTGTTTTTTTCAGACGGAGTCTGGCTCTGTTGCCCAGACTGGAGTGCAGTGGCACAATCTCGGCCCACTCCAACCTCCACCTTCCGGGTTCAAGCAATTCTCTTGCCTCAGCCACCCAAGTAGTTGGGATTATAGGCATGCGCCACCATGCCTGGCTATTTTTGTACTTTTTTTTTTTTTTTTTTTAAATGAGATGGAGTCTGGCTGTGTCGCCCAGGCTGGAGTGCAGTGGCGCGATCTCGGCTCACTGCAAGCTCTGCCCCCGGGGTTCATGCCATTCTCCTGCCTCAGCCGCCCAAGGATCTAGGATGACAGGTGTCCGCCGCTATGCCCAGCTAATTTTTTGTATTTTTAGTAGAGACGGGGTTTCACCGTGTTAGCTAGGATGGTCTCGATATCCTGACCTCGTGATCCGCCCACCTCGGCCTCCCAAAGTGCTGAAATTACAAGCGTGAGCCACCGTGCCCGGCCTATTTTTGTAGTTTTAATAGAGATGAAGTTTCTCCATGTTGGCCAGGCTGGTCTTGAACTCCTGACTTCAGGTGACCCTCCTGCCTCAGCCTCCCAAAGTGCTGGGATTACAAGCGTGAGCCGCTGTGCCCGGCCAAGAATTCTTTATATATTCGGGATTCTAGACGCTTATCCAGTATATTATTTACAAATATTTATTCCCATTGTGTTAATCTTTTCGGTTTCCTGAGTAGTGTCCTTGGATACAGAAAAGTTTTTAATTTTGACAAAGTCTAACTTACCTATTTTGTTGTTGTTGCTTGTCCTTTTGGTGTTACATCTAAGAATCCATTGCTAAATCCAAGGCCATGAAGATTTACTTGTTTTCTTCTAAGAGTTTTATCTTTTCAGCTCTCACATAAAACAAATATTTCAATGAAATATTTCAAAAATCAAAACTAATGCAAAAAGTCCATGATGAACAAAATATCAACATTTTACATAAAGGCCAGATCTGCCCCTGCACTTGGTCTACGCCCTTCATTCGTGCACCCTGGGGCAGGGGCAGATTAAACTAGGGGAGTCCATTAAGCTGGGGCTGGTGTGTGGCCCAGAGCGAGAAACCGCTACTGCAGGAGACAGCGATTTTTCCGCGGCAAATCCTTGAGAAGGGAGGATGGGAGGCGGCGGGACGACTCAGTGAAGCCTGCCCCGAACGCCAAATGAATGTGTGCCGTGCTCGCGCGTGTGGCTGCCGACCGCGACGGCATAATCTTGAAAGTGACCGCTGTCCCGGGGCTCCCTGCTCTCAAGGGACCCTGACAGCAGCCGCCTCCCCGGGAGGGTCCCTTGCAGGGAGAAGCCCCTGGCGAGAGGAGGGGGTTGGACCACGGTGCGCGTATCCCCAGGTCAGCGTCCCCGCCCTCTTGCCCCAGGCTCCAGTCCTTTGGGGGCAGGCGCGTGCACTGGGGGCTCACACCAACGCGCCCCTCCAGCCTGGCCCGGATTCCTGCAGCCCAATGGCAGGGGAGGCCGCGCACCCGTCGCGTTACACAATAGTCCGGCCGCGGATCGTGGACCACGTTGGGTCTGTCCAAAACCCACCAGTGAGCAAGCGGGAGAGCGCGGCCACCCCGCCCCGCCCCTTCCGCGTCCGCCCCGCCCCCTCCCCGGAAGGCGCGGGTGCCCACAGCTCCCCGTGGACTCCGACCCGGGGCAACATGGCCGCGTTCTCACCTCTGCGCGACTGCCAGGTACACGGAGGCTGCCCCCAGCCAGGTCCCCCTCGGGCCCCGGGTGTTGGGAGTGGCCTGGTGCTGGCGGAATGGCGGGAGACATGGCCTGGGCGCCGGGCGTAGGGTGAGCCCTGGACGCACGGGCGCGTCCGCGGCAACACCTAGAAGGGACCCGAGGCCCTTCTTGTGGAGTCCCCACCGAGGGAAATAAGGGGCACCTGTCAGGGTACTCGGGAGACCCCAAGACCTCCTAAAAATCGTAGCTCACTGGGCATGGCGTGGGACGCAGAGAAGCCTGCAAAGGTGAGGGGCTCCTTGGAATCAGCCCAGGACAGGGAGCCTGAGCCCATCTTGCAGATGAGGAAGGTGGAGGTCAGAGGGGCCAGGTGACTTGTGTATGTTGAAGTTTGAAGGGGCTCCTGGGAAGAAAGCCCTGCTATTCCCTCCTTGCTGTCTGTAGGCCTGGAAGGATGCGAGGCTCCCGCTCTCCACCACAAGCAATGAAGCTTGCAAGCTGTTTGATGCCACGCTGACCCAGGTATGCCTGCCTAGAGAGGCCGCGGCCCGTTCTGTGGAGGTCTAGGGGAAGGTTTTTGTTTGTTTGCTTTTGTTTTTGAGACAGAGCCTCACTCTGTCGCCCAGGCTGGAGTTCAGTGGCGCAATCTCGGCTCACTGCAAGCTCCGCCTCCCGGGTTCACGCCATTCTCCTGCCTCAGCCTCCTGGGCAGCTGGGACTACAGGCGCCCGCCACCGTGCCCGGCTAATTTTTTGTATTTTTAGTAGAAATGGGATTTCACCGTTCACAGGATGGTCTGGTTCTCCTGACCTTGTGATCCGCCCGCCTCGGCCTCCCAAAGTGCTGTGATTACAGGCGTAAGCCACCGTGCCCGGCCTGGGAAGGTTTTTAAATTGGGGAATGCTTTTTAAATTGCGCCATGACCTTAGCAATAGATGGCAGTACATCTGTGCACTCTGTACTGGAGGATGTGGGGACATATCTCTGCCACCCACAGAGTCCTGAGAGGGCCTCTGCACTCACCCTCCTTCCCCAGGACTCTTGAGTGGTGGGTGGAGAGCAGTGGGCGCCATGGGGATGTTTTTTGAGGGTGCTGGCCTCCTTGGGCCTCCCCTTGTGGCCTGCTGAGGGTCTGATGCAGGGCTCGGCTACTTAGGACATGGTATCCTGTCCTGGGATGCATCTGTGAATATACTGTCTTCACCTAGGCTGTGCCAAGACCTCTTGCCACATTACCAGTCATTTCTCTACCCATGAAGGGTCCTATAGTTTTATAACTAAGTCTCAGAAGATCCAACTAGTTTGTTTGACAGGTAGGAGAACTGAGGCTCAGAGAGTTGAACCTACTTGACTTGAAGGTTGTCCATGAATTAGAGGCAGAACCAGGGTGAACCTGGGCCTAACTACACTGATAGAAAACTAAAGCTGGCCTTGGCATGGGCAGTGAGGCCCCTGCGTACTGACTTCATCCACATAACATGAGGACCCGGGGAGCTCTTAGAAGCCTACCGGCTGAACAAGAGAGGACTGATGGAATGCTGTGAGCTGCGCCATGGGTGCCCCTCCTGTTCCCAGCCTGCCCTGCTGTTCCCAGCCTGCCCTGCTGTTCCCAGTCTGCCCTGCTGTTCCCAGCCTGCCCTGCTGTTCCTAGCCTGCCCTGCAGAGGGACTCTGCTGTGGGCATCTGAGTTGTTTATTTTGTGTTTGACCTGGCTCACTTGCCCTTCCTGTACCTCGCTGGCCTCTTTAGAGTACTCGATTTGTTTTTTGTTTGAGAGGGACTCTTGCCCTCTCGCCCAGACTGGAGTACAATGGCGCAATCTTGGCTCACTGCAACCTCCACCTCCCGGGTTCAAGTGATTGTCCTGTCTCAGCTTCCGGAGTAGCTGGGATTACAGGCACGCGCCACCACGCCTGGCTAATTTTTTGTATATTTAGTAGAGACGGGGTTTCACCATGTTGGTCGGGCTGGTCACAAACTCCTGACCTTGTGATCCCCCGGCCTTGGCCTCCCAAAGTGCTGGGATTACAGGCGTGAGCCACCACGGCTGGCCCCTAGTACTCGATTTGTTACACACCACATCCCCAATCAGTGGTAGCTCATCCTCCCAGCCTGTGCATATTTTGTCCCGTGTATTGGTGTCTCTGTACTGTCCTGTGTTAGAACTTCGATTCTTTAAATCTCTGTGCCAACCCTCCTCTATCTTGTCAAAATGCTTGTGTAGCCTATAGTCCCAGCTACTTGGGAGGCTGAGGCAGGAGGACTGCTTGAGCCCAGGAGGTTGAGGCTGAAGTGAGCTCTGATTGTGCCACTGTACTCCAGCCTGGGCAACAGAGTGAACCCCGTCTTAAAAAAAAAAAAAAAAAGTATATATATATATATACACACACACACACACACACACACACACGTACTAATTCTGTGTAGATGTAGGTTAGATAACTGAAAGGGCATATTTTAAAATCCAATGCATGATTATAGGTCTAGGACTTTTTTAAAAAAGAGGCATTTGAATAAAGGACCAGGTACCAATACACCAAATTGTTTAAAATGACGATGGGCTGGGCACGGTGACTCACGCCTGTAATCCCAGCACTTTGGGAGGCTGAGGCAGGTGGATCATCTGAGGTCAGGAGTTCGAAACCAGTCTGGCCAACATGGTGAAACCCCATCTGTACTAAAGATACAAAAAAAATTAGCCAGGCATGGTGGCGTGCACCTGTAACCCCAGCTACTTGGGAGGCTGAGGCAGGGGAATTATTTGAACCAGGGAGGTGGAGGTTGCAGTGAGTCAAGATAGCACCACTGCCCTCCAGCCTGGGCAACAGAGCGAGACTCTGTCTCAAAAAAAAAAAAAAAAAAAAAAATTAGCCAGGCGCAGTGTACACACCTGTAATCCTGGCTACTAAGGAGGCTGAGGCAGGAGAATTGCTTGAACCCTGGAGGCAGAGGTTGCAGTAAGCTAAGATCGTGCCATTGCACTCCAGCCTGGGTGACAGGGCAAGATTCTGTCTCAATTAAAAAAAAAAAAAGATTTATCTTTCAGCTTTTGTGTCTTTCTGACTCTCTAAAATGAATGTTTACTGTGACTATTTTTTTTTTTTTTTTTTTTTGAGACAGAGTCTCGCTCTGTCACCCAGGCTGGAGTGCAGTGGCGCGATCTCCACTCACTGCAAGCCCCGCCTCCCAGGTTCATGCCATTCTCCTGCCTCAGCCTCCGGAGTAGCTGGGACTACAGGCGCCCGCCACCTCGCCCGGCTAGTTTTTTGTATTTTTTAGTAGAGACGGGGTTTCACCGTGTTAGCCAGGATGGACTCGATCTCCTGACCTTGTGATCCGCCCGTCTCAGCCTCCCAAAGTGCTGGGATTACAGGTTTGAGCCACCGCGCCCGGCCTACTGTGACTATTTTTAAAACGAATGAATAAGAAGCAGGAATGTTCCTGTCGTGACCAACTTCAAGGCTCCTCTTAGGGCCGAAGAAGCCGATGTGTAGCAGGTCACCTGTCAGGAGGAATTTGCCCTTTTTTTTTTTTTTTTTTTTCTTTGTCATGCAGGCTGGAGTGCAGTGGTGCTATCTTGGCTCACCGCAACCTCCCAGGTTCAGGCGATTCTCTTGCCTCAGCCTCCCAAGTCTCAGCTGCCCAAGTCGCTAAGACTACAGACACATGCCACCATGCCTGACTAATTTTTGTATTATTTGTAGAGACAGAGTTTCGCCATGTTGGCCAGGCTGGTCTCAAACTCCTGCCCTCAAGTGATCCACCCACCTCGGTCTTCCAGAGTGTTGGAATTATAGGCGTGAGCCATCGCACCTGGCCAGAACCTGCCTTTTGATGTTTCTTTTTTGGAAATGCAGCATCCCTAGCCCTAGAAAGCGTGCCTCGGGTGATGTGTATTTCATTTCTTCATATAAAGAAAGTTGTCAGCCAGGTTATGCCTTCTTTGGATTAGAGTCCAGAAAACACTCAGTGTTCTACAAAGAAAAACAAATCTGGATTTATTTTTATTTTTTGTTTTTTGAGACAGAGTCTCTCTGTCATCCAGGCTGGAGTGCAGTGGCGCGATCTTGGCTCACTGCAGCCTTGGTCCCCGGGTTCACGTGATTCTCATGCCTCTGCCTACCAAGTGGCTGGGACTACAGGTGTGCACCACTACGCCCCACTAATTTTTGTATTTTTAGTAGAGATGGAGGTTTCAGCATGTTGGTCAGGCTGGTCTCGAACTCCTGACCTCAAACGATCTGCCCGCCTTGGCCTCCCAGAGTGTGAACCTGGCTTTAGAGCCACACCTTTGCTAGAATGATCCAAGGGCTCTGTGAGGACTTGTTTTGCTTTTCCCATTTTAGTATGTAAAATGGACCAATGACAAGAGTCTCGGTGGCATCGAGGGCTGCCTGTCAAAGCTCAAAGCAGCAGATCCGACCTTCGGTGAGTAACACCTTCCCTGGGTGGAGGAGCCCCGCTTGACACAGCCAGCCCCTCTCTCTTTCCTTTATCACAGGCACACAGTTGGGATGGGGAAGGCAGGTTGGGTGGCAGTAACCAGGGTGGCATTTGCACAGAGGGAGAGAAGATGACAGCTGCCTTTGTATTTGGAAAAACAGTCACTCCCATAAAGATGCTAGGTTCTAACAGGCATTTTTCTTGCCTTTTCTCTGATTACCATCAATTATTGAATAAAGATGCTGATCTCATTTCTCAGATGAGGAAACTGAGGGTTGGCAAGAGTAAGACTGTACTTAAAGCCACCCAGCTGGTGATTGACAACTGGGATTAGATAAGCTTCCTGAATCCAAGGCCCAGGCCGCTGGAACATGAGAGGTGGCTGCTGCAGCCTCCGTCAGGGGACCAGTGAGACCTCATATAAGTGGCCAGGGTGAGGTGATCACCGATGGGTGACAGAGGCTAGCATCCAGGCAAGCCATGTGTACAGCGGGCATGGGAAGCCAGCACAGTGCATTGACGGTGGGTGGTTCCAGGGTGTAGCAAGGTTCCGGGCCTGGGGGAACGGCTGATGAGGGGACAGAGTCTTGTCAGGGTGGCGGGGACCCCCTTCTCACCCTGCTGCAGCCTGGTCAGATTTAAGGCAGGGGCTTGTACTGCCCTGGAGAGGACAAACAAGGAAATAACTGGGGGAGAACAGAAAGCCAAACCCAGTCATGGGGAGCCAGGAGCCAGGGGTGGGCTCAGACTCTGAGCAGACCTTGAGGCCTGATCAGGGCTGCCTTCAACCACCTGAATCATCAGCTGGGCTGGGCTGGGCTGGGCTGGGCTCGGCTCGACCATCGGAATCACCAGCTGTTTTCCAGGGGACACATGGGTGGTCCTAGCACTATGGTTGGGTCCTAGATCCCAGGCCTGAGCCAGTGACCAAGTTCCAAATGCCAGTGGACACCCTGGCTCTCCCAGAGTGTGGCCTGGGGGCCTGCACTCCTGCCAGCAAGGCTGCTGCGAGGGCCACAAGGCACACACCCCCACCCTAACTTTTAGCATGTGTGAGCAGCACAGACGGGATCGTGACTTCTGTGCTCCGGGGCCTCCTTGGTCCAGCCCGTCATGAGCAGCATCCACTGATGCCTCCCGGGAGCCGTGTGCTGGCTGTGTGATAGTGGCCGCTGATGAGCCTGCAGGCAGCCGCTAAGTGGCTCATCCAGTGAAGGGGAAGGTGCTTTAGACACTGGCACTCAGCACAATGCCCTCACTAGACAAATATTCAAGGGTGCCTTTAGGCTTGCTGTTTGCTCCATGCTTGACAAGTGCCGAGGCTGAGTTCTGGACAGTCGGCAGGGCCACAGTGCACAGCCTACTGCTGCCTGGCTGGCCCCTCCTGGGACATGGGCTGTCTCTGTGACATGTGGAGTCTGGGCTGGGCTGGGCTGAACCACCAGCTGTTCTCTAACCTCCACCAGCAATGGGCCACGCCATCTCTACTGGCCTTGTACTGATTGGCACTGGAAGCTCCGTGAAGCTGGACAAAGAGCTGGACCTGGCTGTGAAGACAATGGTGGAGATTTCAAGAACCCAGCCGCTGACAAGGCGGGAGCAGTTGCACGTGTCTGCAGTAGAGACGTTTGCCAAGGGGTGAGGGGCCTTCCTGGGCCGGGAGCTGGCACCCTGAGGCTGTGCTGGGGGAGTGGCAGGGTATCCCTTTCCCGACGCCCTTGGGAGCAGGGCGGGGTGGGAGAGTGATTCTCTCCTTGCCTCCTGAGATGCTTTCATGGAAAATCACATCCTCTGCTTCCCCGTCCTTGGTGGAGTGCTGAGTGAGGAAGCAGTTGGTGAAGATTCCCAACTTAGTGTTAAAAGTAACTTACTTTGTTTCATTAAGTAAATTGTATATTATTTTCCTTACAAAAATAATAGGGTCACTCTACAGAAATTACTAGGTTAGGGAGGAGAGAAGAAAACATGCTTCTTCTAGTGGGAAATAAACAATCAAATCAAATCTTCGCCCATATGTTCCTTGCTCTTGCATTGGCTTTCACATCATCCCCCCGCCGTTCCCACACTGGTTCCCTTGTTCTCTGGGACGGCCCCCATGTCTGCTCAGGCAGGCGAGATGCCCTGCAGAGTTAGATGATCTTAGCCGATTGTACAGGGATCCTGAGACTGGGGAGGTGCTGCCTGGTCTTCCTTGTGAGTCATCCCAGGTGTGGTTCCACCTCGGAGACTTCCTGTAGGTATCTGACCGTCTCCAGTGGGATTATCCTCGGCAATTTGTTAAACCTGTTTTTTTTTTTTTTTTTTTCAATTGAACTGAAGAGTAAAATTTCCCACTGGGTTTTCAGTTTTCTGTTCATGACCTAACACAGAAATTGATATTTATTTATTTATTTAGACAGAGTTTTGCTCTTGTCACCCAGGCTGGAGTGCAATGGCACGATCTCGGCTCACTGCAACCTCTGCCTGCTGGGTTCAAGCGATTCTCCTGCCTCAGCCTACCAGGTAGCTGGGATTACAGGCACATATCACCACACCTGGCTCACTTTTATATTTTTAGTAGAGACGGGGTTACATCATCTTGGCCAGGCTGGTCTTGAACTCCTGACCTCATGATCCACCTGCCTTGGCCTCCCAAAGTGCTGGGATTACAGGCAGGAGCCACCACGCCTGGCCAGAAACTGATTTTTAAAAAAAGACGTCCATGCAGACCATGACATTGGTGAGAAACGACGCCTCTTACATTCCCTGTGTGGGTGGACTGTGTGTTCAGTGTCGGTGAGAAATCTTTCTCGGTTTCCAGGAACTTTCTGAAAGCCAGTGAACTATGGGAACAGATTCTCCAGGACCACCCAACAGACATGTTGGCCCTGAAATTTTCCCATGATGTTTATTTTTACCTGGGCTGTCAGGAACAGATGCGAGATTCTGTTGCTCGAGTTTACCCCTTCTGGACACCTGACATCCCCCTAAGCAGGTATGTGCCAACTGGAAATCACATTGTTTCTGTTTCTTAATCTCTTTCTTCTGCCCTAAAAATATGGTGACTCTCTTGGGCCTGTCCTAAAAATAATGGGACCATTGTTGCTATTCTCCTAGTTCCTTAAAGTTCAAAGGCTTCACTTTCTTCATTTGATTTTCATCCCACCTGTGGATGAGGTAGTACCATTAGGTATCGATCAGTATGGGATTGTTTTTGCTGCAGTAACAAACATCCCCTGGTTCTTCTTCCCCAAAGCTTATTACAGCAAAGGTTTATTTTTTACTCATACTACATGGCACCTTAGGAGGGATGAGGGCTCTGCTGCCATGTCCTTGTCGGCATCCAGTATCCCAGCTGATGAAGCAGGTGCCCTCTGGACACACCTGTCACTAAGAGGGAAAAGCAAGCTTTCCTGGCGGGGCTTACAGTGGCAATTAAAGGTTTAGAATGAAAAGGATACCCTGCCACTCCCAAGTCATTGGCCAGAACTGATCACATGACCTTGCCCACCCACAGGAGACCAGGAAGTACAGTTCTACCTTGTGCTTGGGAAGAGGACGAGGCCTGGAATGTGCATGAACAGCCCCAGTGACCACCACACAGGAATGACTTCACTGCAGCTTCATTACAGGACAGTCGTGAGGTTCAGAGAGGTTAATAAGCTGTATTATTTAGTCAGCACCCTCCAGAGAAGCCCAGAGAGCTCTGAGACAGAGAGATAGAGATTTATTTTAAGGAATCGACTCATGTGAGTGTGAGGGCTGGCAAGTTCAAAATCTGTAGGGCAGGGCAGCAAGCTGGAAATTCCTGCAGGAGTCAGCATTAGCCTCGCATCTGGAGGCAGTCTGCAGGCAGAATTTCTTCTAGGGGCCTCAGTCTTTCTCTTAAGACCTTTAACTGATTGGATGAGGCCCACCCACATGGAGGGTAATCTGCTTTACTCAAATCACATCTAGAAATAGCTTCACAGGACTGGGCACAGTGGCTTATGCCTGTAATCCCAGCTCTTTGGGAAGCTGAGGCTGTAGGATTGCATGAGGCCAGGAGTTCGAGATAAGCTTGGTCAACATGGCAAGACCCTGTCTCTACAAAAAGAAAAAATAAATGAAAAAAGTTAGCCAGGCACGGTGGCATGTGCCTGTAGTTCCAGCTACTCAGGAGGCTGTGACAGGAGGATCTCTTGAGCCCAGGAGTTTGAGGCTGCAGTGAGCTGGCAATCATGCCACTGCACTCGGCCTGGGTGGCAGAGCAAGACTCCATCTCTAAAAGAATATATATTTCACAGCAACATCTAGACTGGTGTTTGACCAAACAACTGGCACCATGGCCCAGTCAAATTGACACATAAAAAATTAACCATCACAAGAACCTAGTAGTACCTGTCACACAGTAAGCCTACAAGAAATAGCTTAAGTCTTGAGGATTAAATGACCCCAGTAAACACACGATACATATATATATATGTATATTTTAAAGATAACTCTGGAAGCCGGTGCTTAAGAACATTGCTTCAATGAATAACAAAAACTAGAATCAATCTTCTTGCACAGTAGTGAAGCTAACATCTTAGTCTCAGACAGAAGCCCCATTGCCCTATTTTGTTTTAACTTAACCCCAAGAAATCACAGGAAAGAAACCTGTTTCATGTATGACCACCCTAGATACTCGGGTGGGCAGTTGCAGATGAGATTGGAAGTGTGGGCTGGGCGCGGCGGCTCATGCCTGTAATGCCAGCACTTTGGGAGGCTGAGGCAGGTGGATCAACTGAGGTCAGGAGTTTGAGGCCAGCCTGGCCAACATGGTGAAACCTCGTCTCTACTAAAAATACCAAAATTAGCTGGGTGTGATGACATGTGCCTGTAATCCCAGCTACTCAGGAGGCTGAGGAAGGAGAATCGCTTGAACCCAGGAGACGGAGGTTGCAGTGAGCTGAGATTGTGCCACTGCACTCCAGCTTGGGCGACAGAGCGAGATTCTGTCTCCAAAAAAAAAAAAGAGAGGGAGAGATTGGAAGTGTGCAATTATTCAGTAGTGTTTTCCAGCCCATCCTGGACTGGGCCTGGGCTGAGGGTGAATTGGACAGACAGGTCCCAGCCTGTAGGAGCTCCGGGTCTGAGGAGGACCCGGCTGTCCACTGAGTGCATTCCAGGCCAGGCAGGGGACCGTGTACAGCACTGAGGAAGCCAAGGAGGAGCTGTTGACAGCCCACAGGTCACGGAGGCTTCCCAGGGAGGTGCCCCTGGGTCATGCCTCTGGGTGGATGTCACCATGCAGACAGGAGGGAAAGGACCCTTGTTATTCTCAGTGGAGACCTATGTTGATTCTTAGAAGGTGGGATGCTAATTGAGGAGCAGGGCCACTCTCTGTGCCGGGTTTGGGGATGATTGTGCGGATGTAATGTTCATCTTGCCCCTCACCAGTCTGAAGCACGGAATTGCTGAAAAGCATAGAGCTTGGCATGGAGTTGGAGGTTGTGTCCGTCTCCTGTGGCTGCTATAGCAAAGGGCTGCAGACTAGGTGGTTTGGAGCAGCACATAGGTACAGCTTTGAGGGCCAAGAGTCCCATCCAAGATGTCAGCAGGGCCAACGCCCTCAAAGCCTCAGGAGTGGGTCCTTCCTGCCTCTTCCAGTGCCTGGTGGTGTCCGGAGTTGCCTTGAAGTCCCTTGGTTCGCAGCTGCATCACTCTGCCTTGGTCTTTACCTACCTCCTTCCCTCTGCATCTGTGTCTTCCCACGGCCCTCTTATAAGGACACCAGTCATTGCGTTAGGACCCACCCTAATCCCGTATGACCTCCTCTAAACTTGATTACCTCTGCAAAGACCCTGTTTCCAAAAAAGGTCACATTCCCAGTACTGGCAGTTAGGACCTCAGTGTATCTTTGTGGGGACACAATTTAAACTGCTACCTGTCCATCGTTTTGTATTCTGAGATATTTTTTCTGTGTTTAGCTATGTGAAAGGCATCTACTCTTTTGGCTTGATGGAAACCAACTTCTACGACCGGGCAGAAAAACTTGCCAAAGAGGTAAGTGGGTCCTTCCCAAGGTGCCTGACCCCTCGGGGAGCAGCTGTCGGGTGGACCAGGGCATGTGAGGGGCACCATTCATGTGTGACCCTGGTGAACCCCATCCCCACTCTCACTTCCTCAGAGAGATTGGGGAGCTCATGTTAGTGTGAGCAGCTGCCGCCTGCCAGGGGCTGTCATTCACCTGTGGCCCCCCGAGGTCCCCAGAGCCACGTTCCTTGGCTAACACTGGTTCCCCGTCTACAGATGAGGTTGATGGGGTACAGGGAGCTGGGGTCAGCCCACTCACTTGGGGTTGCACTGAGTGGCAGGTCTGGGCTCCCACCAGCTCTGCCTGGCTCCAGAGCCCACACCGCCCTGCAGGGACAGGAGTTTGTAGGAGGTGAAGTGTAAATAAACGTTGGCTCTTCCTTCCTGAACTTCGCATTTCTAAGCATCACTCACGGCACCAGAGGTTCAGGGACCTGAGTGATGATGGCCAGTCGTGATGATTGCTGGGTGCCCATGCGTAACTGGGCCCAGGGCCAGAGGGCAGGCTTAAGCTGTCAGGCATGGGGCACGGGTGGTCTCATGCTCTGGGGGTCCCTCTCCTGTACTTCTCTTCTTGCAAGATTGGAAACTGAGGCCCATGGAGGGGCTGCCATGCACAAGGGAGTGACAGCTGCTCCTGTGCCCAGCTCTGTGCGGCACTTTATATGTGTCTACTTGTGTCCACACAGCCCTGCCCACGTGATGTTCAACTCCTTGTTGCCCAGATGAGGAGCCCGAGGCTCAGAGGCCAAGGCTAGAGCCTGCCTAAGGCCACATGGCTCAGAGATGGCAGAGCCGGATTCCACCCAGGCCACCTGGCAACGGCTGTCCTTTCAGCTGCCTGCTCTAGGCCGCGCCTCCCAACATCCTGGCTGGGGTTCTTCCCCCAGTAGTTGCCCTAGTCGGCCTGCAGCACCCTCCCCAGGAGACAGCATTGGGGCCCATGGGTCCCTGGGCTCTCTGAAGACTGCTCTGATTATAGAATCTGAGAATTGTGTCTTGAGTGATATGTTCTTTGCTTTAACTCTGAGTCAGGGCTGGTGGGGGACCCGAGTGGCTTTCTGGCAGTCTTGGTTCTATGGCCTGGGTGACCAGACACCACATCCAGGGATCAGCTGTAGGAAAGTCCCTTGGAGACCATGGCAGCTGGGCCCTCCTATGGGTGGCATCCATCTGGGCACCTGAGAGCTCCTGAGACAGTTGGAGAAGCTCTGGACAAGAGTAGCTGTGGCAAACCAGATGTGGCAAGTCCCCTCCATGCCTTGCAAGGAGGAAGAAGCGGTGGTTAGGGTCCATTCCTGCTCCGTTGATCCCCTTTCGCCTCCTGTCCCTTGTCTTGCAGGCACCAACTCTTTGACTTTAACACCAGCATCCCACAGGCAACTACTGGGCAGGAAAAGGGGGCTGTGATGGGGCCAGGGGTGGTAACACATGGGCCATGTGTCTGCAGCCCCAGGCTGGTGAGGGTAGGAGGAGCCAGGGCAGGAGCAGGCAGGCAGCAGGCACAGGCACAGCCACAGAGCTTGGGGACCTGGAGCTCCAAGTAGCTCGATGGGTGGAGGCTTAGGGAGGACGCAGCAAGCCGGGGAGCCAGGAGCCAGGACTGTAGAGGGGCAGGCGAGGACTGGATTCTGCTGGGCCTTGTAGCCTGGGAATGCAGTTTGGACTCCTTCCCAGGGAACCATGGTGGGACTCCAAGAGAGGAAGGAAGCCGGTCAGCCCATCAGAGCTGGTGACAGCCGCCACCCTTCACTCCCTCCATGCATGAAAGCAGCATGCTTAGCAGGGTCCCATCTCAGGACCCCGCGCCCAGCCTGCTTAGACTGTGCCCAAGTGTCCCATGCTCAGAGCCCCTGCTCCGGGGGTGCCCACAGTCCCCTACAGACACGCTTCCTTTCCCTCCGTTCCCACATGGAGTGGGCCGGGCCCACGAAAGCTGAGAGGTGGGCGGAGAGGCAGGGCTTGCTGGGGCCGACCTCCTGCCAAAAGCCTCTCAGCGGGTGCTGGGCCAGGGCAGAGGAGCGTGGGGCTTCTGGACCCCTATGAAAGGTGTGGGGAGACTGAGGCAGTGGGGCTGGCGGGAATTCATGATTTGGCATGGGGGACCTGGGCGCAAGCCAGGCAATGGGACTTCTGTCAGCCTCAGTTTACTGCTCCGTTTTCTAAGCTCTGCCTGGGACTGAGTAGATGCTCAGCAAACATGAGCTGAACACATAAATAGAAGAAAGAAACAGCTAGCGGGGGAGGATCATTCCCTGAGCCCAGCCTGCCTCTCTGGTCGCTGTCAAGCTCACAGGTCATGGGAGCGGCTGTTGTCATGAACTGTGATAACCTTAAAGCCAGCTGTTTCTGCACCCAGAAAGCCACGTGTCCTCACATACATGGTAGTGGGAAGAGGCAGCCACAGCCACTGGAGGACTTGACAGTTCACACCGCGTTCACGTGGGCAGTAACTGCTTCTCTAAGAGGAAGGCAGCATCCGTGGCCTTCCTGGCAGCAACTGAGGCCCAGAGAGGGCGGGCATGTTTTGCAGGTGCCTCGGCTGTGTGCAGAATGCTGTGGGCTTGGGTCTGAGCCCTGGCTTTGGAAAGATCCTGCCGCTGTCCCGCTGGGTGAAGTTGCATAGCCTCCCTAAGTCTCAGCTTCCTCATCTGTGAACCGGGCAGTGAGGCCCATGAGCTGGTGTGCCCGGGCAGGCGGGAAGTGGTGCTGATTGTCAGTGTTTTGAGTCGGAGCCCTATCCCCCCACTTGCTCCACCCCGTTCAGCCCAGGCCCCTCTTGCCCCTTAGAGACGCCTGCCCCTGTCATCGCCTGCCCTGGCAGCCTGACTGATCTGCTTTATCTGGAATCCTCTTCCCCGCACCCTGTGTAGGCTTTATCTATTAACCCGACAGACGCATGGTCGGTGCACACCATCGCTCACATCCATGAGATGAAAGCAGAGATCAAGGATGGGTTGGAATTCATGCAGCACTCAGAGACCCACTGGAAGGTACGATGCTTGTCGGTGGCTCACCTCCCTGGGAAATGCAGTGCGTCCCCTTGAGTTAGGCTGAGGCTTTATGGACAAGAGTTATGGGGCTTGGTTCCCTCTCCTCCTTCTCCTGCACCTGCCTCAGGTGTTTGGCTGCTGAGCAGAGCACAGTCAAGATTCTAGTCCCCACCCCAGGCCTATACCTTGCCCTAGGGACTCCACTGAGGGTCCAGCCCAGACTTCTCTGCCCTCACAGGGCCTAGTCAAGAGGAACAATTAGCCTCCTAGAAGCACATGAGCTACACCATGACAGGGACCCTCTGTGGGATGTGGAAACCCAGAGGAAGCATTAAACTCAACTGGACTTGGGGGGACAGTGGCCAGGGAAGGTGTCCTGGAGGAGGCAACCTCTGAGTTGGCTACTGAAGGATGAGCAGGTGTGTGCCACACAGAGGGGGAAGATGGAGAGCATCCCAACCGTCACCAGCTTGAGCAACGCTTCCAAGGCCTACAGTGGCCTGTGAGGGAGAGGAGAGCTGCACAGTTTGGTGTCCTAGAGCCCAGGTACAAGGCAGACATGGGCCGTGCAGGAGGCTTTGTCAGTCCCTCTTTCCATGGGAGGCAAGGTGGTGTCCAGGCAGAGGCAGAAACGCCTGCAGAGGCCTCAGAGAAGGAAAGGCTAGCGCCATGGTGGAGGTGGGCCCTCTGGACAGACGGGGCTGCGTCAGGTGAGCCTTTTGGGCTCAAGGGAGATGGGACCTCCTCGGAACAGGGACACAGGGTCGCTCACTCAGCGCTGATTGAATACCCGCTTTGTATTTGGGGTCAGCAAGAAATCAGGGAAGGATGAGCACTTGGCTCCCAAGCAGGGGCCGTGCGGTCTGAGCCACGCGGCGGAGGACCCTCAGGCCTCCAGATTCAGCCCTGTCAAGGGGGCAGCTGTCAGGTTCCCTTCTCAGGGACAGTGAGGTTTGTTTGGGGTTTTTGAGTGCTGGGCACTGTCACTTGTTGAGGATCACGAGTCCTGTCTCCCGAGCTTGGAAATACCCTAGCAGGGGCCAGCTCTGAGCCCAGCACAGGCCCTGCTTTAACACTGCTTCATACTGAGGGCGGCCTAAGGGAGCCACTGACATGCGCCGCCCCCCCGCCCCGGCTCTTGGGGCTTTGCCAGCACCTGTTGGAGTTTGGCCCTGGGCCTGCTGATCTCTGCAGGTTTTTTTGGTTTGGTTTGGTTTTTTTTTGTTGCTGTTGTTTTTTGAGACAAGTTCTCTCTCTGTCACCCAAGCTGGAGTGCAATGGCACAATCAGGGCTCACTGCAGCCTCGACCTTCTGGGCTCAAGCGATCCTCCCACCTTGGCCTCCCAAATAGCTGGGACTACCGGCGTGTGCCACCACACCTGGCTAATTAAAATTTTTTTTTTTTTAGAGAGACAAGGTCTCCTCCCTGTGTTGCCCAGGTGGGTCCTGGACTCTTGGGCTCAATTGATCCTTCTGCCTCAGCCTCCCAAAAGTGCTGGGATTACTTTTGGGAGGCATGAGCCGCCGTGCCCGGAGTTTATCCAAGTGCCCTGAGCTGTTCGGGCACCCATGGGCCTTGGGCCACTCCCTGTGGAGTGGCTCTGTGATTCCTTTTCTCAACTTCACATGTAAAGAAGGCAAAGCTGGAGTTGCTGAAGTAACTTCCTCTGCACCAGTCCTGGGGCTGCTGCTCCCCAGCTCAGGCAAGCAGGTTGGGAACCTCCCCTGGCCTCCGTTTCCTCCTTGGTAAATGCAGCATAATAGTCACTGCCCTTCCAAGTGGAAGAGATTATGTGGCCGGAGGCGCCCAGCACAGACACGGAATATTGTTTCCTGCGCTCAAAGATGATGGTTTCTGTGGCCGGGTGCGGTGGCTCACACCTGTAATCCCAGCACTTTGGGAGGCTGAGGTGGGCGGATCACTTGAGGTCAGAGGTTTGAGACCACCCTGGCCAAGATGATGAAACCCTGTCTCTACCAAAGACACAAAAATTACCTAGGTATGGTGGTGCACACTTATAATCCCAGCTACTCAGGAGGCTGAGGCAGGAGAATCGCTTGAACCCAGGAGGCAGAGGTTGCTGTGAGCCAAGATCGTGCCACTGCACTCCAGCCTGGGGGACAGATCCAGACTTTGTCTCAAAAAAAAAAAAAAAAAAAAAAAAAAGATGGTTTCTGCATTAGCACAAAACAACATTTTTTTTTTCCCATAGGCCTTCAGACTTTTCATACATTCTTTTTTTTTTTCTCCTCCAGGACTCGGATATGTTGGCTTGTCATAACTATTGGCACTGGGCTTTATATCTGATTGAGAAGGTAAGGTGGCCGTCTGTTTGCCCTGTCTTATCCTGTAGAGATTCCAGAGGGAGAAAGATTTTTCTAGCTTTTGTTGTGTATTCACATCCCGTGGAGCCCTGATGCAGTGGAGCATTAATGTTTCCAAAGAGCGTTCCAGGCTTGACCTGTTGTAGGGATTTTTCACTGTAGAGGCCTGGAAATCACGTCTGTGGTGTATAACTTGTAGAGATCATTCAGAGCAAGTGCCTGTGGCTGGAGCGGAGAGCCAGACGCCCACCCTGCAGGGTGTACCTGCCTGGGCCATGAGATCTTGCAGCGGGAGCCAGGGTATGGGGCATCTGCTCGTGACACCCTTGACCCCAGTGATTCCGCCACAGGGTTCCGTGTGCCAGACTGTCACTTCCGGTGCTCTTTATCCTGCACAAAAGCTAGAAGCTCCCTGAATGTCCAAAAAGTGAGAAATGCTGAGAACGTGAGGGCCCTGTCATGACATAAGAATGTGATGATAAAGTGTCTGGAAGACAGCACAGAACCCAGCTAAATGTACAGGAGAGGAAACATATGCAGAAAAGAAAAAGGCGGCTGGGCGCAGTGCTCACGCCTATAATCCCAGCACTTTGAGAGGCCAAGGCAGGCAAATCACCTGAGGTCAAGAGTTTGAGACCAGCCTGGGCAACATGGTAAAACCCGTTCTCTACTAAAAATACAAAAATTAGCTGGGCGTGGTGGCCCCTCCCTGTAATCCTGAGGCTGAGGCATGAGAATCACTTGAACCTGGGACACGGAGGTTACAGTGAGCCCAGATTGTGCCACTGCACTCCAGCCTGGGTGACAGAGTGAGACCCCATCTCAAAAAAAAAGAAAAAAAGAGAAAAAGACTAGAAAGAAATACATGAAAAAGCTTGCAGCAGTTAGTATGAGCAATACCTATATTAACTTTTCCACTAGGAGAGAGAATGCTTCCACAGCAACTGTTTCTTCAGTGGTGGCAGCACAGGTACTGCTGTCCTTTTTACACTGGGGAACCAAAGCTCCGGTTGAAAGCAGGTTCACCTTCTCCCATCCCAGTGCCACCAAGACACTGCCCGTCCCCCTCTGAGAGGAGGTGGAGGCCTGAGGCCATGTGCTCAGGGGGCTTTGGCCTGGCCGTTTTCAGTTCACGTCCGAGTATTACACTTTGCTTTCTCCAGAGTTTAATCAGGAGAACTTTATTCTTCCAGGGCGAATATGAGGCCGCACTGACCATCTTTGATACTCACGTAAGTTGCGCTCACACCGTGTTCAATTTGTTGCAGCATTTTGCCTTTGAGTCTCAAAGAGACCAGATCTTTGAGTTCTTCAGGATTGTCCCAGCCAGAAAAACAGCTGGAGCAAAAACATGTTTCTTGCGTAAGGCCTGATGGGGTTAATTTTGCCAAGAGCAATGTTGTAACCCTGCCTATGCTGGGGACAGTGGTTGGCCCTGCTCACCCCGAGGGTGCTGGTAGATTTACACATCTAGGGGCCTCGCCTCTGCAATGGCGGGCTCTCCTCCAGCCCTTTCAGATCACTTTTCTTTGGTAAGACAACTGGTCTACCCATAGGAATTTTTTTTTTTTTTTTTTTTTTTTAATCAGAGTTTCGCTCTTGTTATCCATGCTGGAGTGCAATGGGGCAATCGGCTGGAATTTTCTTCACTATAATAAAATAAAAATAACATAAAATTACGTGTACAAGGCTGGGTGTGGTGACTCACACCTGTAATCCCAATACTTTGGGAGGCTGAGGCGAGTGGATCATTTGAGGTCAGGAATCCAAGACCAGCCTGGCCAACGTGGCGAAACCCTGTCTCTACTAAAAATACAAAAAATGAGCTGGGCATGGTGGTGGGCACCTGTAATCCCAGCTACTCGGGAGGATGAGGCACGACAATCGCTTGAACCCAGGAGGCAGAGGTTATAGTGAGCCAAGATCACGCTACTGCACTCCAGCCTGGGTGACAGAGCGAGACCCTATCTCAAAAAAAGAAAAAAGAAAAAAGAAGGGTACAGCTCTGTGGCATTAAGTGCATTCACATTGTGCAACCATCACCACCCTCCATTTTGAGAACATTCTTCATCTTCCCAAACTGAAACCCTATACCCATTTAACACTAACTCTCCATTCCTCCTCCCTGGGCCCAGACATTCTTTTGAGAGGCGGAAAAAAGCCTGACTCACAGCTCCAAGGACCCCAGGGATGGCTTCATCCTAAAAGCCTGGAACCACAGAAATGCTTGTGATCTGGGGATCTAAACATCAGAGAAAAGCACACAATAATTTCCCTTGGTCAGGAAGTTGTAGTAAGAAATGAAGGGTGGGCCGGGTGTGGTGGCTCATGCCTGTAATCCCAAGCACTTTGGGAGGCTGAGGCTGGTGAATCACCTGAGGTCAGGAGTTGGAGACAAGCCTGGCCAACATGGTGAAACACGTTTCTACTAAATATACAGAAACTAGCTAGGTGTGGTGGTGGGTGCCTGCAATCCCAGCTACTTAGGAGGTTGAGGCAGGAGAATTGCTTGAACCCAGGAGGTGGAGGTTGCAGTGAGCCGAGATTGCGCCATTTGCACCCCAGCCTGGGCGACAGAAGGAGACTCTATCTTAAAAAAAAAAAAAAAAAAAAAAAAAAAGAAGTGATGGGTGACATACTCCAAGAACTCGAAGTGGCCTGCTCAGCAAAGCTGAGTCTAGAAACGTGATCAGGCAGACAACCCTCCCACCGGTGTGGTCTGAGGCCCGGGGGTGGGAGGTGGCCGATGCTTTGGGCCTGGTCTGGGCCCTGGATATGCAATGCAGTGGGCTCTTTTTTCAGGTCTGCCTGGTGACCCCTCTAGTGCTTGGAGCAGTCTACACCCCAGGCAAGGGTGATTGGCCTGTTAGTTGGGGTGATGGGGACAGTGGCAGAGGGCTTGCTCTATACAGGCCCCACTCCACCTAGACAGGCTGACCCTAGCTGTGCCTGCAGCCCCCTCATCTGGCCCACCAGCTGAGCCCGCCTTGGCGCCCTGTCTTCCAGATCCTTCCCAGCCTGCAGGCCAGTGGTACCATGCTGGACGTGGTGGATAACTGCTCCATGCTCTACCGCCTGCAGATGGAAGGTAGCCACCCCTGCAGCCCCACTGGCTTCTGCCTCTTCCTCCCACATCATGAGAAAGAGGGTGCTGTGGCCTAGGCCCAGGGCTGGGCAAGAGCTCATGGGTGAGCCGCTCCAGACCCCTCTGCAGACCTGGCCGCTGCCTTGGGTACCGCTCTGCAGCTGCCTCCCAGCTGGCCCAAAGCTGGAGGGGGTGCCCAGGCCACACTGCCTTTTCTAACAGTTCCTACCGCTCCTCCATGTGGAAGCCTCCAGCTCTGCACCCAGGGCAGCACCTGCTGTGCTGTTCCCACTGCCAGCCTGCCAAGCCTTCGGGGCACTGGTGGCACCTGGCCACCTGTCTCAATGCCACCTCTTTTCCTGAAACATGAGAGAGTTTCTCAACTCCCTGGGATTGTAGACAGGTTTCTCAACCTTGTCATGCTCTGCAGGTAGCCTGGAGGGATCAGCCACAGCTCTGGGGGCTGTCGAGGGCTCCAGCCAACCACTGGGGTGCCAGATGGTTCTCCCCTTACCTCAGGCTCAGCAGAGCCATCTGGAACCACAGAGGCCTGGGCTAGGCCCTGGGTCAGCAGTACCATGAGGGGTGCAGGCCTGGGCTGAGCAATTCAGGAACCCGAGGGAGCGCATGACAGGCTGTGTCTAGAGATTCAGAAGGCTTCCTAATGGAGGTGAAATGTGAGCCCCAGAAGCATGTGTGGGGCTTGCTGGGCAGACAAGGGAAAGAGTTACACTCAGAGAAAGCAGACCATCCAAAGCTACCGGGACGTAGAAGCCAGCAGCCTGCTGCAGAACAAGAGGCCAGAGGGCGGGCTCGATGTGGTCAGATCAGGCAACAGCAGACTGAGGGGTGCAAGAGCCAGGGAGCCCACCCGTGGGAAGGGCAGGCTGAGGCTGGAGACCCAGAGAAAAGTGGGGAGCCCGGGGCATCCATGGGGAAGCTGGGGGTTGTGTGGGAAGGCCAGGGGATCCAAGAGGCCTGGGGTTTGTCAAAGCAGACAGAGGTTTTGTTTAATAACCTTTGACACTTTTTAAAATGTGCTTCCTACTTAACGTGTCTATGGCTTCTATAATTAAACAGTCCTAACAGAGGCCTAAGCACAAGGCCAGACACTGCCCATGGCCCTGCCTACCTCCCCGGCCTCTCACCTGGGACAAGGTCATCAGGGCCTCCAAGGGAAGCGCTGTGGGGGAGGCCCTTGCACAGGACACATCCCAGAGCCTCATTCCAGGCCCTGGGTCTCCTCCCCATGTCCTCAGGGGTGTCTGTGGGCCAGCGGTGGCAGGATGTCCTGCCTGTGACCCGGAAGCACAGCCGAGACCACGTCCTGCTGTTCAATGACGCACACTTCCTGATGGCATCCCTGGGTGCACATGACCGCCAGACCACACAGGAGCTGCTGACCACCCTGCGGGACGCCAGCGAGTATGCAGAGGGGACCTTCTTGGGGTGGGGGTCCTCACCCTGCCGAGAGGGTGACGGGGTGCTAGGGCCATGCTGAGACCTGTTCAGTGCCTGCCCTGCCTGTGAGTGCAGCAGGGATGCCCATGGAGGCTGCTCCCCAGTGTGCACCGCTATAGATATGTGTCCCCTGGTGCAGACTCCCGAGACTTGTGCACCCACAAGTGTGTGGCCCACAGCTCTACAACTGGTTGCCCCAAGACACAGAGCTGCCTCCATCCCCATCGTGGGTATGAGATCCTCAGGGTCACAGGGCTGCCTCCCATGGAGAGGACACAGTGAAGCCCTGAAACCAGAGACACCTGCTGCTTACAGGCCCTGAGGTCCTGGACGAGGGGCTTCTCTGGTCTGAACCTCAGTTTCCCTATCTAAATCAGGGATAGTGCCTGGCAAGAGCTGGTGAGGGCTGACCTGGGGGACCTGGGCTGCCCTGCCCATTCCCTTCGGGGGGTGGTGATTGCCTTGACTTGCAGTGCCAGGCCTTTGCCTGTCTTGTCAGCAATCCTGACAGTTCTGTTAGACTGGCACTGTTATGCCTGCTTCACAAGTGAGCAAACTGAGGCTGGAAGGTTGGGGACCAGATAGCTGGAAATGGGTGAACTCCAACCCAGGTCTGAGCTTAGTGCCCTGTCCCATCCCCTTGATGGGCTGCCCCGCCTGTCACCTCACCTCATCAGCGTGGCATGTGTCAGGCACTGGGCCAGGGACACCTCGCTGAGGAAGAAATGGCCCTGCCCCTCCCGGATGTCCTGTGATGGGCAGACAGCTGAGGGCACTGTCTCGGGTTCGCAGATCTCCAGGGGAGAACTGCCAGCACCTCCTGGCCCGAGACGTGGGGCTGCCCCTGTGCCAGGCCCTGGTGGAGGCTGAGGACGGGAACCCTGACCGCGTCCTGGAGCTGCTCCTGCCCATCCGCTACCGGATCGTCCAGCTCGGTGGGAGCAATGCCCAGGTGAGCCGATGGCTGCCAGCCGGGGCGCCTGGGGACTGGGCCAGGGAGTCTGGGTGCCCTGCAGCCCCCAAGTCTCTCCCGTGGTGGTGGTGTCCACAATGTGGATGTGAATGTGTCTCTCACGCCCCCGCCCTGTAAGTTGGTCATCGAGGGTGTGGCATCAACACCACTGTCTCCCTGGAGAGCAGGCAGCCCTCGGTGGGCGGGGGCTCACCTCCCCCATCCCGAGGTACAGGAGCCTCACATGCCCAATTGATATTTCAGAGAGACGTCTTCAACCAGCTGCTGATTCATGCGGCCTTAAACTGCACCTCCAGCGTCCATAAGAATGTGGCCCGGTGAGCTCCTGGCCCCTGCCCAGCACTCCCGACTTTCATAGGCTCTCCCTGCAGACCTCGGGAGTGTCTGGAAGCCCCACCACCCTTGGCCCGAGATGCTCCTGCTTCTGAGGCTGTGAGGTTGGGAGGCTGTGGGGAATTTGGTTCTCCTTTGTTAGCGGGCTCAATTTGACCAAGTGGAGCCAGCTCGACCCCAGGCCCAACCTCCCACCCTCCCCAGCCCACTCCCTTTTAGCCATGCTAAGCTACCTGAGTACGCAAATATGTCCTGCTCTTTCAGGCTTCTGGGCCTTTGCACGCTTGGAACACCCTTTCTCCTTTTGCACCTGGCCGACACCTAACGCTCAGACCTCAGCTCATTTCTCCTGCCTGCCTGTGCTGGGTGCCGAGAGGCAGCAGTGAGCAGGCACACCAGGCACTGGCTACCAGGAGCCCATCTGTAGTTGGGGGAGCGACAGGGAGCAGTCAGTCCCACAGACACACGTAAACTCACACTGAGGGAGCAGCAGCTGAGGGCACACCCGAAAGTGCAGTGGGTTTAGCCAGGCCAGGCATGGGGCTGGTAGGAGGGTGGCATAGCTGGAGGGTGAGTGTTAGGACGGTGGCGTGGCTGGAGGGTGTGTTAGGAGGGTGGCGTGGCTGGAGGGTGAGTGTCAGGAGGGTGGCGTGGCTGGAGGGTGAGTGTGTTAGGAGGGTGGCGTGGCTGGAGGGTGAGTGTCAGGAGGGTGGCGTGGCTGGAGGGTGAGTGTCAGGAGGGTGGCGTGGCTGGAGGGTGAGTGTGTTAGGAGGGTGGCGTGGCTGGAGGGTGAGTGTCAGGAGGGTGGCGTGGCTGGAGGGTGAGTGTCAGGAGGGTGGCGTGGCTGGAGGGTGAGTGTCAGGAGGGTGGCGTGGCTGGAGGGTGAGTGTCAGGAGGGTGGCGTGGCAGGAGGGAGAGTGTGTTAGGAGGGTGGCGTGGCTGGAGGGTGAGTGTCAGGAGGGTGGCGTGGCTGGAGGGTGAGTGTGTCAGGAGGGTGGCGTGGCTGGAGGGTGAGTGTCAGGAGGGTGGCGTGGCTGGAGGGTGAGTGTCAGGAGGGTGGCGTGGCTGGAGGGTGAGTGTCAGGAGGGTGGCGTGGCTGGAGGGTGAGTGTCAGGAGGGTGGCGTGGCTGGAGGGTGAGTGTGTCAGGAGGGTGGCGTGGCTGGAGGGTGAGTGTCAGGAGGGTGGCGTGGCTGGAGGGTGAGTGTGTCAGGAGGGTGGCGTGGCTGGAGGGTGAGTGTGTCAGGAGGGTGGCGTGGCTGGAGGGTGGGTGTCAGGAGGGTGGCGTGGCTGGAGGGTGAGTGTGTCAGGAGGGTGGCGTGGCTGGAGGGTGAGTGTGTTAGGAGGGTGTCGTGGCTGGAGGGTGAGTGTTAGGAGGGTGGCGTGGCTGGAGGGTGAGTGTGTTAGGAGGGTGTCGTGGCTGGAGGGTGAGTGTTAGGAGGGTGTCGTGGCTGGAGGGTGAGTGTGTTAGGAGGGTGGCGTGGCTGGAGGGTGAGTGTGTTAGGAGGGTGTCGTGGCTGGAGGGTGAGTGTTAGGAGGGTGTCGTGGCTGGAGGGTGAGTGTGTTAGGAGGGTGTCGTGGCTGGAGGGTGAGTGTTAGGAGGGTGTCGTGGCTGGAGGGTGAGTGTTAGGAGGGTGTCGTGGCTGGAGGGTGAGTGTTAGGAGGGTGGCGTGGCTGGAGGGTGAGTGTGTTAGGAGGGTGGCGTGGCTGGAGGGTGAGTGTGTTAGGAGGGTGGCGTGGCTGGAGGGTGAGTGTTAGGAGGGTGGCCTGGCTGGAGGGTGAGTGTGTTAGGAGGGTGGTGTGACTGGAGGGTGAGTGTGTTAGGGTGGTGTGGCTGGAGGGTGGGTGTTGGGAGGGTGGCATGACTGGAGGGTGAGTGTGTTAGGAGGGTGGCGTGACTGGAGGGTGAGTGTGTTAGGAGGGTGGCGTGACTGGAGGGTGAGTGTGTTAGGAGGGTGGCGTGGCTGGAGGGTGAGTGTTAGGAGGGTGGCCTGGCTGGAGGGTGAGTGTGTTAGGGTGGTGTGGCTGGAGGGTGAGTGTGTTAGGGTGGTGTGGCTGGAGGGTGGGTGTTAGGAGGGTGGCGTGACTGGAGGGTGAGTGTGTTAGGAGGGTGGCGTGACTGGAGGGTGAGTGTGTTAGGAGGGTGGCGTGGCTGGAGGGTGAGTGTGTTAGGAGGGTGGCGTGGCTGGAGGGTGAGTGTTAGGAGGGTGGCCTGGCTGGAGGGTGAGTGTGTTAGGAGGGTGGTGTGGCTGGAGGGTGAGTGTGTTAGGGTGGTGTGGCTGGAGGGTGGGTGTTAGGAGGGTGGCGTGACTGGAGGGTGAGTGTGTTAGGAGGGTGGCGTGAATGGAGGGTGAGTGTGTTAGGGTGGTGTGGCTAGCAGTTGAGTGTTAGGGTGGTGTGGCTGGAGGGTGGGTGTTAGGAGGGTGGTGTGTCTGGAGGGTGAGTGTGTTAGGGTGGTGTGGCTGGAGGGTGGGTGTTAGGAGGGTGGCGTGACTGGAGGGTGAGTGTGTTAGGAGGGTGGCGTGACTGGAGGGTGAGTGTGTTAGGGTGGTGTGGCTGGCAGGTGAGTGTCAGGAGGGTGGCATAGCTGGCAGATGAGAGGGTAGGGGAACTCCAAGGAGCCCCCACCATTGCCAGCAGCCTTGGTGCTTCCATGGCCCGGCTGGCCTCCCTCCACTCAGGCTTCTGGGCCCTGGCCGGCGCCGTATAGCCCCTGTGCGCCTGACGAGCAACTTCGACACCTCTCCTTGCCCAGGTCCCCCATGACCCTCAGACATAGGTGGAAGGAATAGAGGAGCCATGGGGTGCCTGGTGGGGAAGGTGTGCTGTGAGAGCAGGTGGCAGTCCGGGGCCACAGGAGGCCCTTGGCTGGTGACAAGCCCAGTGGTTTAGGCGCAGGTGCACCAGCGCAGCTCCGTCTAGGCAGGGTTACCCAAATTGAGCCGTGCAGGTTCTGTGGTACTGATGAAACAGGTCTAGCTGGCAGCACTTGAACCGCCTAAAACTGTAAAATGTCTTGGACACATGCTCCCCACTCTGCCTTACATGGCCATAGACAAAACTATGCATGTTTCTTTAGTGGTTAAGCCCCTTGGGGAGCTCAAGCTGTGGTGTGGGTGGGAGTTGGTACCTCTGGCAGCAGCAGTGGGGAAAGTGGCTGTGTGGACAGGAGGACTGAGGGTGGAGCTGGGGTGAGCATCTGGGGGGCAATGCGGCGGTGCTGATGTAGCCTTCCCCAAGGCCCAGTGGGGGAGAGCAGGCTGCACGGGGAGCGGACCGCAGTAGGTGTGGGGGGTGCCTTCTCTCCAAGTCCTGTCCTGCCACCAGGCAGCATCCATGGGGCCATCAGCACAGGTCACCAGCCCCCAGGGTGGGAAACCTTCCACCCCCAGCCATGGTGCCCCCACACACTGAGTGCCTGGCCCCAGCCCTTTCACACCACCCACGCCCTACAGAACCACTGTTGTCAGATGTTTGGGGACTGTCTTAGTCAGTTTGGGCTGTTACTTTAAAAGTGCCACAGACAGGCCGGGCGTGGTGGCTCATGCATGTAATCCCAGCACTTTGGGAGGCCAAGGCGGGTGGATCACCCGAGGTCAGGAGTTCAAGACCAGCCTGGCTAATATGGTGAAACCCTGCCTCTACTAAAAATACAAAAAATTAGCCAGGCATGGTGGTGGGTGCCTGTAATCCCAGGTAATCAGGAGCCTGGGGCAGGAGAATCACTTGAACCTGGGAGGTGGAGGGTGCAGTGAGCTGAGATTGTACCACTGCACTCTAGCCTGAATGTGAGAGGGAGACTCTATCTCAAAACAAAACAAAACAAAACAAAACAAAAAAAACAGTGCCACGGACTGGGCAACTTGCACAGTAGGCATGCATTGTATCACGGTTCTGGAGGCTGGAATGTCCAGGACCAAGGTCTGGCTGGGTTCGGTTGCTGCTGAGGCCTCTCTTCCTGGCTTGTGGACAGCTATTTTCTTGTGTCCTCACATGACCTTTCCTTTGAGTGCCAGTTCTTTCACGTCTCTTCTTTCTTTTTAAATTTTTAAAATATTTTTAGAGGCAAAGTCTTGGTCACCCAGGTTGGAATGCAGTGGTGTGATCACAGTTCACTGTAAACTCAAACTCTTGGGCTCAAGGAATCTTCCTGCCTCATCCTCCCATAGTGCTGGGATTACAGGGGTGAGCCACCACATCCACCTCTTCTTATAAGGGCACTAATCCCATTCACAAGGGCCCCACCCTCATGACTTAATCACCTCCAAGAGGCCTTGTTCCTAATACCATCACCTTGGGCATTTGGGCTTCAACATATAATACATTCAGCCTGGACACAGACATTCAGTTCACAGCAGGGTCTTTACCTCAAAGTGTACCTGGGCTTTCTCTCTTTCAACCTGGGTTTTCCCCACTCATACCTGTTCTGCCCCATCTTGAGTGTGGCTTCCTGCACTGGAGGTCTGTGCCCTCCCATCCTTACCTCTCTCCAAACTGAGACCAGGCCTCCTGCCCCTGGGCCTTGGCCCTTGCTATTCCCTCAGTGCCGCAGTCCAGCCTGCCTGTGTTCTGCCTTGGGACCAAGGGACCACCAGGCCCCACATCCCTCTAGAATGTTCTGCAAGAGCATGTCTGTTTCCACAGGAGCCTTCTGATGGAGCGTGATGCCTTGAAGCCCAACTCGCCCCTGACTGAGCGGCTCATCCGCAAGGCGGCAAGCGTCCACCTCATGCAGTGAGCCAGCCTGGCCGCCTCCACCATGCGGAACCTCGGTGATGGCCTCGCTGCGTCCAGTCAGCGTGCTGCACCAGGTTAGGGTCAGGAGACGGCTGGAGCCTGTTTGTTAGGGCTGTTAGAGGGTGATCTTCAGTTTTACGGGAAGGGGGTCAGAGGTTAATTTTAAATGTGATTCTAAATCTCCTTTCAGTGCTTGAGAAGGGCCAATGTGCATTTTTCAGCAGTCACAGCCAGTGCGAGTGCTGCTCTTTCCACCTGCCTTGCAAATTCTGTTTCCCAGGGGAATGTGTCTACTGCCTGGTGGTTCAAGGGTTGGAAGGCAGGGCAGGGGTGGGAGCTGATTCCACTAGGACAGGTCTTCCAGAGGCAGCCAGCCTCCCACCACTGCCTGTCCCCTTCCAGGCTGCCCTTGGGATGGACCTTTTCATTCTTTCCCTTATATTCTAGACAGGTTCTGTCATCTCATTGTGTTGCTGTCCCATTTTTCAGGTGAGGGTACCGGGGTAGGGGAGTGGCCTGCCCAGGGTCACACAACGAGAGGCCCCACCTGCTGCCTTTGGGCTCAGCTCCCTGCTGCTGCATCCACCGCCCTCCTTACAGATGAACGTGCACATGGGGTCCTCCTGCTATCTCTGGGGCGTCTTAGAGCCCCCTGGGGGGCTCTGTTGGTGCTGATTTGGACCCGTTTCTCTTTTTAAACTGCACATCATAAGGCTTCATGTTGAGCATGATTTTAATCATAAATGCACTTTTGAGATGCAGGGATTGAGCTCAGAGCTTCTCTGCTGTGGCAAAATGCAAAGTGCTGTGATGTGTGGCTGTGACAAGCCTGGAGTGGGCCCTGTTAGTGCCGCCTCTGTCTCCTGCTTCCCCACTGAGCACCTCCTGAATGTGCTGCTGACTGAGTTGTGCTGCTTTCAGCCTTCCTGTGAGGGGAGGTCCCAGTGCACAGATGTTTTTCAAGTTCCTCAGTTTGTACTGAAATTAGGTAGGGATTCATCAGGGCAGGAAGCAGGCCTCCTAGAAGAGAGGAGGCCTCCAAATCTATTGAGTCCCCACAGTGTGCTCAAGCCTAGGCAAATTTCTGTGGTTAAAATGAATTATTAATCAGTTCCTTCAAGTCTTTGAGCATCTATGGTGCAGGCCTGGGGCTGGGTCCTGGGGAGGTGGCTTCTCCCTGAACTTAAGGTAGGTGGGGCGGGGCAGGCCAGGCCAGGCGCAGTGGCTCACACCTGTAATCCCAGCACTTTGGGAGGCCGAGGCGAGTGGATCCCCTGATGTCAGGAGTTCGAGACCAGCCTGGCCAACATGGTGAAACCCTGTTTCTACTAAAAATACAAAAATTAGCTGAGCATGGTGGCGCACATCTAATCCCAGCTGCTTGGGAGGCTGAGGCAGGAGAATTGCTTGAACCTGGGAGGCAGCGATTGCAGTGAGCCAAGATCATGCCATTGCACTGCAGTCTGGGCAACAGAGCCAGACTCCCATCTCAAGGGGGAAAAAAAAAAGTAGGTGGGGCATCTAGTCAAGAAAATGGGTAATTACAGTAGGACTTCCAGAGAGTCGCCTTCTCTACCCAGGAACTAGGGACATGTCCTAAGGGGAGCCTCCCTCCCCTCTCCTGGTTCCAAGCAAGACATGACTTAGCTGTGCAATTGGGAACCCTGGTCCCTCCTCCAGGAAGCCTTCTACCCCCCAACCCCCACTGCAGGCTGGTGAGGGTGCTGCCTCTGTGCCCCTCAGCCCTTGGCATGTGTCCTTGCTATTGCACCCCTGCTGTGACCTCTCCAGGTCAGGGACAGCATCCATCACCTGGCACAGGGCCTGCAGTGAGTAGCTGTCAGTGAAAGTTGGTGAATGAATGCATAAATAAATGAAGTCAACTCTGTATTCGGCCTTCTTGCATTGCTATGGAGAAATGCCTGAGGCTAGGTAATTTATAAAGAGGTTTAATTGGCTCACAGTTCCATGGGCTTTTCAGGAAGCATGGTGCTGGCATCCGCTTCTGGTCTAACCTCAGGAAGCTTAAGATCATGACATAGGGTGACAGGGAGCCAGTGTATCACATAGTGAGAGCAGGAGTGAGAGAGAGAAGGGGAGGTCTTGGACTCTTAAATAACCAGATCTTGTGTGAACTAAGCAAGAACTCATCACCAAGGGGATGGTGCTAAACCATTCGTAAGGGATCTGCCCTCACGACCCAATTACTTCCCACCAGGCCCCACTTCCAACATTGGGATCACATTTCAACATGAGATTTGGAGGGGACACACATCCAAACTACAGCAAATCCTATCAGGGGCAGAAATGAATCTGCCATAGATAGGCCACACCTACTATATGTTGATATGATACAGGGAGAGGAGTATCAGGAATGAATATTGGGGATCCCTCTGCCATTCTCCCAGCAGACATCCCCAGGATGAGCTGAGGGGAATGCAATGAGCAGGCCAAACTCTTTCCAAGCTGTTTGACCACACCCACCTACCCCAGCACTCTGTCCCTGCCTGGTGCCCTGTGCTGGGCTGGGTGAGGCTGGGGAGACTGGTGAGTGAGGGCTGCCCTGCCCTTTATGAGCCCACAGTCTTCTAGTGAATGAACACAGCAACATGGAGTGATTGGTGTGGATGATGCAAAACCAGGGACATGGGACCCAGAGGTGGCCTCAGCCAGCCTGGAAGGCCTCTACCTTGGGTCCCCCACGCCCCCCCCCCACCGTGGCTGCTTGCTGGACAGCTCTCCCCGCAGCCTGCCCCAAGTAAACAGCTTATCTTCGTCCCTGAGAATGGTGCTCTCCATTTCCATCCTTTCCAGAGCGGGTCCTCCCAGGCTCCTCTTCCTGCATCCTCCTCCATCCATCAGTCATGGATAATCAGAGCTCCCGCTTAGTGACACTTTGCCGTGGGTGGAGCCCCTCATTTGATCCTCAAGCCCCCGAGGTGGGTATTATACTTCGTTCGCAGGCAAAGGCTCAAGTGAGGTCAGCCTTAAGTTGCTGCCCACTGACCCGTCTACCAGTCCTGTCCTTGCGTCTCCATGGCTCAGGTCAGGGTTATCCTATCTGCTTCCCATCCTCTCCAACACATGGATTCCCCAAGGCAGGCTCCATCACCGGGCCCCAGCCCCTGGCTCTCTCCTCCAGCGCAGCTCCCCAACCGGCCTGTAAAACCCAGGACAGGCTCCCGTCAGGTTCTCGGCCGTCCTCAGGCCGTGGCAGTTGGGGAAGCCCGCCAAGGGCGACGGTTCCCCTCCGGCCCCACAGGCTGTGCAGCTCCGGCCATGAGTCTCCCTCTGGTCGCTGGGTCAGCCGGCGCCCCTGTGCGCGCCTCGGGCAGGGACCCCGCCTTTTCATTACTGTTAGTAACAGCTGGCGCGCGCTGCTTCACAGCAGGTGGGTGAGCCTACTTTTAGTCTTCCCATGGAAACCCTTAGGTGGCAGTTTTAACTTTCTCCCTACACACAAGGAACTGCTATATATGGTTCCGGCTTGACGCGGATAGCTAGGTGACACGTAGCGGCCAGGCCGGGCAGACTTCCGTGTGGATGCGCCCTGGTGCCGTGCGGAGCCAATCGCTGTGCTGGAGTAGTGCGCATGCGCCCTGGACGCTTCTTACCAGCGTCCCGACTACAATACCCAGGATGCACCGGGCCCGCCGCCTCTCGGAGCCCTTTTCAAACCGACCAATCGGCAGCCCGCGTCGCCCGGCGCCGCGTTTAAATCCGTGCCGGAGGCGCGTCCTGCATCGGCCGCTTTGGGTAAGGTGGGGTCAGAGTCGGGGGCGAGGCTTTCGCGGTGGGCCAGGTGCGGCGCGGTGCCCGCTGTTCCCTGGACGGGTAGGGGCCGCGCGCCGCCAGGAGCCGGGCCTGGGCTCGAGCAGGGGTCACCGGGGCCCCTCGCGCTGTGGTCGGGGATGCCAGGAGGTCCAGGGCTGCCCCCCAGGCAACCAGAGCCCTCAGCACTCTGGCCCACGAGCCGAGAATTCCGTTATCTCGTCCGATAGCGTTCGGGCTGACTCCCGGCCTGGCAGCACCCGACCCCTGGGGTCCCCTGGGATGCGATCATTTCAGAGCGGCCTCCGCGCCGCCTCTTCCAGACCTGGCCGCGGCCTTCAGCTCTCTCTGCCCCTGTATGCCGAGGGCTGAAGGAACCAGGAGCTCTGGGCCCTGACATGCACTCACCTTCTGGCCCCGTTCCACCCTGCAGTGACTTCTGACAACTCTCTCCATGGAAGGAGGCGGCGGCCGTGATGAGCCTTCAGCCTGCCGGGCAGGGGATGCGAACATGGATAACCCTAAGAAGGAAGGCAAGTCCTAGCTGCTGCAGCGCTGTTGTTGTTCAGGACGTTCAGTAGCGATGGAGGTTGATTTAATGTTTCCTTGAGACATTCTTTCTTTCTCAAGTGCTCGTCTGTACTCACTCTGCACCTGTGAGACACATGACATTTGCTTTTATTTTCTGGTTTTCTTTCACCTCCTCCCCATTTTAAGTTTCATCACAGCCAGGATTCTCATCAGTTTTATTTAGCGCAGTGCCCCCATGCCCTGAACAGTACCTGACACTTTGTGGGCGCTCAAATGTTTATTGTATTGAATTCGATGTTTCCTTTTTTGTTTGTCGCTGGTTTCTGTTTGCTAAGACTTGTTTAGGATCTTTGAGACCATGTTAATGAGTGAGCCTGGCCCAAAACTCCTTTCTTCTTGTGTGTTTGTCCGGTTTGGGTATCAAGGTGAGGGTACGGCTTCACAGAATGAGTTACAGGCCACACCCTCTTTTTCTCTGAAAGAGTTTTTTTGTTTTTGTTTTTGTTTTTGAGACTGAGTCTCGCTCTGTCGCCCAGGCTGGAGTGCAGTGGCCGGATCTCAGCTCACTGCAAGCTCCGCCTCCCGGGTTTACGCCATTCTCCTGCCTCAGCCTCCGGAGTAGCTGGGACTACAGGCGCCTGCCACCACACCCAGCTAGCTAGTTTTTTGTATTTTTTAGTAGAGATGGGGTTTCACCGTGTTAGCCAGGATGGTCTCGATCTCCTGACCTCGTGATCCGCCCATCTCGGCCTCCCAAAGTGCTGGGATTACAGGCTTGAGCCACCGCGCCCGGCTTCTGAAAGCGTTTTTATGTATTTATTTATTTATTGACGGAGTTTTCGCTCTGTCACCCAGGCTGGAGTGCAAAGGCGTGATCTGTACTCACTACAACCTCTGCCTCCTGAGTTGAAGGGATTCTCCTCCCTCGGCCTCCCTAGTAACTAGGATTACAGGTACCCGCTGCCACACCTGGCTAGTTTTTGTAATTTTAGCAGAGACGGGGTTTTGCCATGTTGCCCAGGCTGGTCTTGAATTCCTGAGCTCAGGCAATCTGCCTGCCTCAGCCTCCCAAAGTGCTAGGATTATAGGTGTGAGCCACCTCACCCAGCCTCACAAAGCATTTTGACATCGCTTTATCCTTCGGTTCTCACACTACCCAAGGATCCTTTCTTTTTGAGACTGAGTCTCATGCTGCCTACCAGGCTGGAGTGCAATGGCATGATCTTGGCTCACTGCATCCTCTGCCTCTCAGGTTCAAGTGATTCTCCTGCCTCAGCCTCCGGAGTAGCTGGAATTACAGGCACCCGCCACCATGCCTGTCTGATTTTTGTTTTTTTAGTAGAGATGGGGTTTTACCATATTGGCCAGGCTGGTCTCAAACTCCTGATCCACCTTCCTGGGCCTTGCAAAGTACTGGGATTACAGGCGTGAACCACCGCTCCTGGCCCCAAGCATCCTCAATGCCTCCATTTTGCAGGAACTTTAAAGGATACTTTACAAGATAAAGGAGACTTTACAAATCAATGTTGCATCTTCTTCATGTCTAGAAAGGCGCTTGCCTATGCACCCCTCTCCTCCTTCCTGTCATGTGCCCTTCCTTTCAAATATGTTCCTTCCACATGCATACTGCACCCCCTGCTCCTTCTTGAGGCCTTCCCCACTTCCGTTGACCTGGCTTCATTTCCTTACTTTTCCCCTGTCCACTGGATCATGCTCATCCACATACAGATATGTTCCCTTGTCTCACTTGTTGCCACGTGTCCTCCGTTACCTCTCCATTGCTGTGTTTCTCCTTCCAAGCCAAACTTCGAGAGCTTTCTCACTTTTGTTCTGCCATTTTTTTCCACCTCTCAATCCCTCCTGTTCCGGCTTCCATCCTTACCACTCCATTCAAGCTGCTTTCATCAGTCGCTGACGACTTTCACATTGCCAAATCTCTTGTCATTTTTCTATCTTCAGTCAGCTTTTCAGTAACATTCGTCCTTCTGGAAACTTCCCTTGCTTGGAGTCCAAGGCGCTCTTGGTTTTCCTCCTGCCTCTCTGGCTGGTGTATCTCGTCTCTGTGTGGGCTCCTCCTCCTCTGCCATCTTCTGAGGCTGATTTCCCCAAGACCTGCTCTGGGACAGCTTTGTGCTTTCGCCCTCAGCATTCCCATGGCTGCACAGCACATCTGCTGTCTGTGGCGCCCAAGTTTTGTGTTGAGCGCAGCCTCTCCTCTGAGCTCTGGGCTTATATATTCACCTGCCTATTTGGTGTCTTCACACACACGTCTCATCTCAAACTCGGCATACCCCGTCTGCATCCACACGCCCTGTTCTTACCTATTTTATTTCTCCATTTCACCCAGCTGTCCAAACTGAGAACCTCCTACATTCATGCCATCACCAGCTACCATCATCTCCACCTTCAGAATATATCCTGGATCTGTCTACAGACTCTCCATCTACATCCAGATGCTGCTCTCTGGGTCTCAGCCATGCTGTCTCACCCGCTCCTACTTATATATGATTCCCATTGGCTAGTATGTTCATTTGTAATGCTTCCTTTCAGATACACTTTCTACACAGAAACGTTACCTTTTTAAAA